ACAGTGGACCTCCGGGTTAAGACATCATTGGAATAAGTAATAATTGGAATAAGTAATGTTTTTGCGTCAAAATATTGGCTCGGTGAACATCACTGAACTCGGTATAAGTCATTCATTTCGGGGCGTGAGCTGCCCAGTGTGCCATTGTTTACCAGCCAGTGAGGATGATCCCATGCGTTCATACGATACATTTTGTATTATTTCATTCTTTTTAGTGCTTGTAACTGCTAAATAAGCCACCATGGGCACAAAGAAAGATTCTAGTGCCAGCCAGCCCTTTGTTAAAGGGCTGAGAGAGAGGGGAGAATGTGCATTTTTCAGTGATTCTGCAATATGTACTATACTAAAGCAGCAGGAGTCTATAAAGGCTATAGCACCAGCCAGCAATAAAGTGTAGCATTAACTATAGCAAGTAAGTTAAACGATTAATCGATAGAAAAAGGAGATCACGAACCTAACTCCTCCAATATTGTTGGAGTTATATAGGGCGACTGACAACACCGCCACCTCTGCTGCCGCCTCCACCACCACCATGTACGGCTTATGATGTCAGTGGCCCAGTGACCCAAATACACCCAACAACAACAACACAGCAACACTTGTGACATAATGACGTATTTTATTAATTCTAGAGTATATGTCATGTTTCTATGTTATTAATATTGTTTATTGTGTCATATTAGATGAATTGTGCTAGTAGTAGTAGTAGGTTGGTAGACAGCAACCACCCAGGGAGGTACAACCATCATGCCAAGTGAGTGTAAAACGAAAGCCTGTAATTGTTTTACATGATGGTAGGATTGCTTGTGTCTTTTGTCTGTCTCATAAATATGCAAGATTACAGGTACATCTTGCTACTTCTACTTACACTTAGGTCACACTACACATACATGTACATGTTTATTTATACACACTCATCTGAGTTTTCTTTGATTTTATCTTAATTGTTCTGTTCTTATTACTTTTTTTTATATCCATGGGGAAGTGGAATAAGAATCTTTCCTCTGTAAGCCATGTGTGTTGTAAAAGTCAACTAAAATGCTGGGAACAATGGGTAGTAACCCCTTTTCCTGTAATGATTACTAAACAGAATAAGAAGAAGAAAATTGTCAAAGTGGGATGTCTGAATGTGTGTGGATGTTGTGCGAATGATAAGAAAGAGATGATTGTGGATGCTATGAATGAGAAGAAGCTGGATGTCCTGGCTTTAAGTGAAACAAAGCTGAAGGGGTGGGAGAGTTTCAATGGAGAGAACTAAATGGGATTAGGTCAGGGGTTTCAAATAGAGGTAGAGCTAAAGAAGGAGTAGCAATAATGTTGAAGGATAAACTATGGCAGGAAAAGAGGAAGTATAAATGTATTAATGCAAGGATTATGTGGAGTAAAATAAAGGTTGGATGTGAAAAGTGGGTTATAGTAAGCATATGTGCACCTGGAGAAGAGAGCAGTATAGAGGAGAGAGAGAGATTTTGAGAAATGTTGAGTGAATGCATGAGAAGTTTTGAGCTAAGTGTGAGAGTACCTGTGGTTGGGGATTTCAATGCTAAAGTGGGTAAAAATGTTGTGGAGGGAGTAGTAGGTAAATTTGGGGTGCCAGGGGTAAATGAAAATGGGGAGCCTTTAATTGAGCTATGTGTAGAAAGAGGTTTGGTAATAATTAATACATATTTTATGAAAAAGAGGATAAATAAATATACGAGTTATGATGTAGCACATAATGAAAGTAGTTTGTTAGATTATGTATTGGTGGATAAAAGGTTGATGGGTAGGCTCCAGGATGTAATTGTTTATAGAGGGGCAACTGATATATCGGATCATTATTTAATTGTAGCTACAGTTAGAGTAAGAGGTAGATGGGACAAGAGGAAAATGGCAACAAGAAGTAAGAGAGAGGTGAAAGTGTATAAACTAAGGGAGGAGGAAGTTCGGGTGAGATATAAGTAGGTATTGGCAGAAAAGTGGGCTAGTGCAAGTATGAGTAGTGGGGGGGTTGAAGAGGGTTGGAATAGTTTTAAAAACTCAGTATTAGAATGTGGGGCAGAAGTTTGGGGTTATAGGAGAGTGGGTGCAGGAGGTAAGAAGAGTGATTGGTGGAATGATAAAGTAAAGGGTGTGATAAAAGAGAAAAAAGGTAGCTTATGAGAGGTTTCTACAAAGCAGAAGTGTTATAAGAAGAGCAGAGTATATGAAGAGTAAAAGAAAGGCAGAGAGAGTGGTGAGAAAGTGCAAAAGGAGAGCAGATGATAAGGTGGGACAGGCACTGTCAAGTAATTTTAATGAAAATTAGAACAAAAAAATTTGAGTGAGTTAAACAAGTTAAGAAAGCCTAGGGAACAAATGGATTTGTCAGTTAAAAACAGAGTAGGGGAGTTAATAGATGAGGAGATGAAGGTATTGGGTAGATGGTGGGAATATTTTGAGGAACTTTTAAATGTCAACGGAGAAAGGGAGGCGGTAATTTCATGCATTGGCCAGGGAGGTATACCATCTTTTAAGAGTGAGGAAGAGCAGGATGTGAGTGTGGGGGAGGTGCGTGAGCCATTAGTAAGAATGAAAGGGGGTAAAGCAGCTGGAACTGACGGGATCATGACAGAAATGTTAAAAGCAGGGGGGGGGGGATATAGTGTAAGAGTGGTTGGTATTTTTGTTTAATAAATATATGAAAGAGGGAAAGGTACCTAGGGATTGGCAGAGAGCACGTATAGTTCCTTTACATAAAGGGAAGGGGGACAAAAGAGATTGTAAAAATTATAGAGGAATTAGTTTACTGAGTATACCAGGAAAAGTGTACAGTAGGGTTATTATTGAAAGAATCAGAGGTAAGACAGAATGTAGGATTGCGGATGAGCAAGGATGTGTAGATCAAGTGGTTACGTTGAAGCATATATGTGAACAGTATTTAGATAAAGGTAGGGAAGGTTTTATTGCATTTATGGATTTAGAAAAGGCATACGATAGAGTGGATAGGGGAGCAATGTGGCAGATGTTGCAAGTATGTGGAATAAGTGGTAAGTTACTAAATGCTGTAAAGAGTTTTTATAAGGATAGTGAGGCTCAGGTTAGGGTGTATAAAAGAGAGGGAGACTACTTCCCAGTAAAAGTAGGTCTTAGATAGGGATGTGTAATGTCACCATGGTTGTTTAATATACAGTGGACCCCCGGTTAACGATATTTTTTCACTCCAGAAGTATGTTCAGGTGCCAGTACTGACCGAAATTGTTCCCATAAGGAATATTGTGAAGTAGATTAGTCCATTTCAGACTCCCAAACATACACGTACAAACACACTTACATAAATACACTTACATAATTGGTCACATTCGGAGGTGATCGTTATGCGGGGGTCCACTGTATTTATAGATGGGGTTGTAAAAGAAGTAAATGTTAAGGTGTTTGGGAGAGGGGTGGGATTAAATTATGGGGAATTAAATACAAATGGAAATTGACAGTTACTTTTTGCTGATGATACTGTGCTTATGGGAGATTCTAAAGAAAAGTTGCAAAGGTTAGTGGACAAGTTTGGGAGAGAGTGTAAAGGTAGAAAGTTGAAATTGAGCATAGAAAAGAGTAAGGCGATGAGGGTATCAAATGATTTAGATAAAGAAAAATTGGATATCAAATTGGAGAGGAGTATGGAAGAAGTGAATGTTTTCAGGTATTTGGGAGTTGACGTGTCAGCGGATGGATTTATGAAGGATGAGGTTAATCATAGAATTAACGAAGGAAAAAAGGTGAGTGGTGCATTGAGGTATATGTGTAGACAAAAAATGTTATCTATGGAGGCAAAGAAAGGAATGTATGAAAGTATAGTGATACCAACACTCTTATACGGGTGTGAAGCTTAGGTTGTAAATGCAGCAGCGAGGAGATGGTTGGAGGCAGTGGAGATGTCCTGTCATAGGGCAATGTGTGGTGTAAATATTATGCAGAGAATTCGGAGTGTGGAAATTAGGAGAAGGTGTGGAGTTAATAAAAGTATTAGTCAGAGGGCTGAAGAGGGGTTGTTGAGGTGTTTTGGTCATTTAGAGAGAATGGATCAAAGTAGAATGACATGGAGAGCGTATAAATCTGTAGGGGAAGGAAGGCGGAGTAGGGGTAATCCTTGAAAGGGTTGGAGGGTGAGGGTAAAGGAGGTTTTGTGGGCAAGGGTCTTGGACTACCAGCAAGCGTGTGTGTGTGTGTTAGGTAGGAGTGAATGGAGACGAATGGTATTTGGGACCTGACGAGCTGTTGGAGTGTGAGCAGGGTGATATTTAGTGAAGGGATTCAGGGAAACCGGTTATTTTTATATAGCCGGACTTGAGTCCTGGAAATGGGAAGTACAATGCCTACACTCTAAAGGAGGGGTTTGGGATATTGGCAGTTTGGAGGGACATGTTGTGTATCTTTATATGTATATGCTTCTAAACTGTTGTGTTCTGAGCACCTCTGCAAAAACAGTGATTATGTGTGAGTGAGGTGAAAGTGTTGAATGATGATGAAAGTATTTTCTTTTTGGGGATTTTCTTTTTTTTTTGGTCACCCTGCCTCGGTGGGAGACAGCCGACTTGTTAAAAAAAAAAAAAATTCTTATGGGAAATATTACTTCAGTTTTCAACAAATCCTTTTTTGCCGACCTTCTGGAATGGATTAAAGATGAAAACCAGGGTTCCACTGTATTTGAGTGAGCTGAGCTCTTGACATAGAACTACGTGAGGGACTCTAGTCTTAGTGACATAAGATATATTAAGATAATCTTTCTTCAAGTTTTCTGTATATAATTTATAAACAGTATTACAGTGTTATAAATTTATAAATTGCTTTTGGCATATAATAGTGGTAAATTATGCAGATTTAACTAACAGTAGCCCAACAAATTCAGTAAATGTAAAGAATTGAAAAAAGTTTCACCTCCTCAATTTATATGTAAATAGTTTCATTTATTCAGGAAAATGTGAATTTTATCTTTTAGTGTAAAGTTTGTAAAAGTTAATTTTTAATCAATAAATTTATATTTACAGGTCATTGCAAATTAGATCATCATCTCCTTCAAGTAATCAGCGAACCAACTCCAGAACAACTGATGACTTTCCTTCAACATCATCACATGCAAGTGATGGTACTCTGACACCTACACAAGATATACAAGATATCCCTTTCCTGGATGATGATACTAGTTCAGCTTACTCCTGTGACACTGAAGGCTATTACACATCCTTCCATATAGACAGTGGTCTGCGTTCAGTAAGTTATGAAGGAAATACATTAGCTAGTGAAAACGAATACGAGTTGTTTGGTAAAGGAAGCACTGGTACTACCAATAGTTCAGCAAGTTTAGGAACTGTTGTCATGAGGAATCCTGAGAAAAAGACACCTCCAAAGCCACCACAAAGGGTGAGCAGCTTAGAGAGAAAACGTGAAAATAGAGAAAGTGTTATTACAGTTATTCATGTGAATGGGTCTACATCTTCACAAGAAGATGTTGCTGGAGATGTACCTGACAAAGCATGTAGTCAAGATGGTGATAGTAGGAGCTCACGGGATGGTGACAGTGGACGTGAAACTTCTAGTTCACCTACTGAACCCACAAGTCCACGCCAGCCCAGTTTACCATCCCCAGAATTAGAATGCTCAGAATCTGATTTAGAAGCAGATAGACAAGAAATTTTACGTGTTAAAACAACAATTAATTCGAGTCGTATACCATCAATGTGTGTGATAACACCTCCACAAAGTGATGACGAAAGTGTTAGGTCTGGGAGTGTTCCACTATCTAGGGAAAGTTCAGGGTCACAGATTGATGCTCAAGGGCAGCAGGCACCTCCTCAGGGACTAATGGGTTCCCTTGCTAGTCAGGGACAGACTCACAGTGTTGCTGCTAAATTACTCTCTTTTCAGAGTAGTGGTGCAAGAAGTGGTGGTGCTATTAATAGTGGTAAGGCTGTAGTAGATGCTAGTGTTAGTGAAAAGAAAGATCCAGTATTAAAAGCTACAGTTTTACCCCATGGCTATACCCCAACGCTTACTGTTATTCCCCGTGCTAAAGATGGGGACATTAATGCTCATTTGAAAGGAATTATGCATACAGCAGCTGTAGCATCTCCAGCACAACCAGACCCTGATCAGCCAGTGTTGATTAGACCCTCTCTAGTCAAACAAGCAGAGCGAGAAAAGAGATTATCACAAGAAAGTGATGAAAAGCAACATGCTGAATTACAAAAGCAAGTATCGAAAGAACAACAAAAGGCACCAAGGGAAAAGACTCAGTCACAGACTTCAGAGATGGTATCTTACAAGGAACTTCCTCCTCCTACCACAAGTGGTGCTCATCCATTTAGTGCTGTGCCTAACAGTGTCAAACAGAGTGTAGTAATCACACCAACTAACTCTTTAGAGAGAAGGAAGGCTAACCCTTCCAAACCTGGAGCCCGAGTCACACTGAATTCTGATGGAAAAGTTGTTTACTCTTCAGATAGTTTACCTCGGCGCAAAGGGCACTCTTCCTTTGAACCTGGGCCATATATTAAGCAGGTTGTGAGCTCATCACAACACCAACAAGTAGGAGGTGCCAGTAATTCTCACACTCTTACTGTATCACATGTGAAGTCCTCCGTTTCTACAGCAACAAGCAGCATGCAGCACCCGGCATTGCCTGTGTCTACAGCTCTGAATAATGCAGTTACAGTGCCCCTCTCTCACCCAATGGCACAACGACCACAACAGCCCCTTCCACCTTCAGCATCACATATGATGTCTACATCTTCAGCACCACCATCATCTCAGTCAAAACAATCTTCTGATACAACTTCACAATCTACAAAACCTGTTCCATCTTTACAACCTATGTCATATACTCCACAACTTATTCAAGCTACTGCTACACAGCCACCTTCAGTGGGACCTTCCCATTCCATTCAAGCCATTTCTTCTCAATACCCAACAACTTTACCTTCTCATACTCATCCAGCACAACCATCACAGCCTCATCCTGCACTGCCATCACAGTCACTCCCAGAAATTCCTTTACAATCTCAGCCATTACCACCTCAACAGCCTCTTCCAATATTGTCACAACCTCTCCCAGTTCTGCCTCCACAGTCTATGTTAAGTCAGTCTTCACAGCCTATTCCAGCATCTCAGTCACTTTCTAGTACAACTTCACAACCTGTCTTACATACATCAACACAATCAGTTACTCATCCTTCTGCAAAAGTTCAGCCAATTCAACCAAAGCAAGATTCTCAACCCATACTTCAGAAAACTGCCAGTGTACCTCCACTTGTGAGCATGGCACAAGTGCCAACAACAGTAACAAGCCAACATGCTCGCCCACCTCAACCATTACCACAGCAAAGATTGCAGCAATCTGTACAGCCGCCTCAATCTCCTGGTAGTCAGAGACAAGTGACCTTTGTTGCCAAAAGTGATGTTGATCAGAGCCTTACTGAAAAACAACTTACAAGTATTGCAGGAAGTTCCAATGGCATATATGGAACTACACAGCAGCAGCAACAAATGAGGCAGCAACAGCAGCAGATCTATCAGGCCCGACAAGAAGCACAGAGGCAGCTACTGCAGCAGCAACAAATGCAGATTTATCAGACACGCCAAGAGGCTCAAAGGGCACTACAGCAACAGCAACAAATGCAGCAACAGCTTATTTATCAAACAAGAGAGGAAGCTCAAAGGCAGTTACAGCAGCAACAACAGATGATGGTGCAGCAACAAGCAATATATCAAACTCGACAGGAAGCTCACCAGGCACATCAACTACAGCAACAGCAGTCGCTACCACAACAACAGATGCAGGTTGCAACTACATCTGGAAGTGTTATTATGGCATCCCAGGGAGCACCAATGTCTCCAAGAAGTCAGCGGGCTGGTGCATATGTACATGTACAGGGTCAAGTTCCTCAGGGGACAGCAACTCAGCAGGCACCAGCAGTGCAGTCCTCACAAAGCAACCAGTCTAGCACTAAAATTGCTCAGCGTCCCCAGAGTGCACATGGTTATCCCTCTAGTGGTACAACCTCTCGTGCACCTACTCCTGTGCAAGGCCCCATCACCTCCAGCCCTAGACGTGGGGCCCAACCCAGCACTGAGGCCTTCACTCACCCACACCAGCGCACTGATCCAGGTACACAGTTTCTTAGTGCACAGTCACAAGCACCATTATTAGATGAAGACCTTGATCCCACCACTGATCGTGTGCTGTTAGCCTTGGCCCATGCCCGCTTAGCCACTCACCAGCTTCTTACCAATACTCGACCTTCTGCCTTACGTTTAGACTATAATGAATCAGAGCAGTGGAGTCAGGAAGTAGAGACAAAAGCAGGCTGTTCTAATCCATCTCAGTTTGATGCTGCTAGATCTGGACATAGCCCTTTTCAAAGAAATAATAGTTATAAATTAGCCACAGCTCCTCTTTCAGAAGCCACTAATAATCTTTTTCATAAAGTAGAAGGTTTTGCTAATGTTCATGATTTTGATGAATATCAGTTGCCCCTGATCAATAACAGTACTATTCATGGTCCAAGGGCTATTGTTGGAAGACAAGGATCGAATAGGTGTCCGCAAAAACTTTTTCTTTTTCCTGGCAAGCAGAATTATGTGGGTCAGGGCAAGAGCCTATCAGTAAAACGTCCTGTTAGTCCAGTTAGTCCAGGTCAAGTTATTAATCCCAACGTAAGCAGACGTAGATATTATGGAACTCAGGTCATGGTCAATCCAGCAGTAATTCATGAATTGAAATCACCTAAAGCAGTAGGTACAAGTAAGGAGAATAAAGCTACTCAGGACAGTGTACCTAAAGATAGCAAATGTAGTGTATCAGTAAAATCCAACATGACACAATTAGTTGGCACTAAACCTCGTATTGTTGGGATCATGAAGAAACCCCCTTCCCCAGTCACAGACACAGAGATTTGGTAATGACAACAAATTTGATCTTGCCTTTTTTTTTTTTTTTTTTTTTTTTTGGCTTAGTGAATATGCAAAAAATTCTTCTCCCTAGTCAGTGTGAAACACTCAGAGCAGCATTAGTAGTCATAAAGTGCCATCTACATGTAGCTAAACTAACATATTACTGCCATGCATTGAGATAGATATCTAGAATTATTTTTTTTTTTTTTTGGGGGGGGGGGGTTGTAGTTACTTAATAAGCTGGAGAAGTTATCTTTTGTTAAAATATAAAAAGAACATCAAGAGAAAAGAATAATTATTGATAAGATTAAATTACTGTATATTTATACTGGACAAACACAGTGGGCTGCAAAAGGAAAAAGTATTACTGTATATGAATGTTTGTCTGGTGTTTCAAGTCTTGACCCTTTAGAGGAAATTATGTTATCTATTCCTGGTATTGTGTAGTAAGTCAGCAAGAGTAGCCACTCCTTGGAGCTTTCCCAGTGCTTCTCAAATACAGTGCAAAACAACCATATATTAAAACTCAGGTTTAGTGTAACCTTGCGGGAGAAGTTATAATGGCACACCTGACTTTACCTCAGATACACCACAGTAATAGTTGCACTCTCAACTTTACCTCAGATGTACCACAGGAATGGTTACTCTCAGACCTTACCTCAGATATACCATAGGAATGGTTGTACTCTCAGACCTTACCTCAGATATACCATAGGAATGGTTGTACTCTCAGACCTTACCTCAGATATACCACAGGAATAGTTGCACTCTCAGCCTTACCTCAGATTTACCACAGGAATAGTTGCACTCTCAAACCTTACTTCAGATACACTGCACACCACAGGAATGGCTATATTCTATGCATTACAGTGGACCCCCGCATAGCGATATTAATCCGTGCAAGAGAGCTCATTGTTATGCGAAATTATCGTTATGCGAATGAATTTTCCCCATAAGAAATAATGGAAATCAAATTAATCCGTGCAAGACACCCAAAAGTATGAAAAAAAAATTTTACCACATGAAATATACATTTTCCTACACACAAAGAGAAGGATACATGCACAATAGTAGAGTAGTACATGCACAATATATATTGTGCATGTACTACTCTACTAAATGAAGAATAAATGACACTTACCTTTATTGAAGATGCAGCAATGACTGATGAGACACTGTGTCCTGGGAGTGCCTTTTCTCCTGAGTACTGTAGGTCCTGTTTGGCATTTTCTTCCAGAACAGGCCTTATCACACTGTGTATGCCACTACGATTCTTAAATCTCTCAAACCAACCTTTGCTGGCTTTAAATTCACCAATATGAGCACTAGTTCCAGGCATTTTTCCCTGTTCACCTGGGTGTTAGTCGACTGGTGTGGGTTGCATCCTGGGAGAGAAGATTAAGGACCCCAATGGAAATAAGTTAGACAGTCTTCGATGACACTGACTTTTTTTGGGTTATCCTGGGTGGAAAATCCTCTGGGGTTAATTGTTTCTTGGTATTCTCAATAAGCCACACCAACAATGGTGCTACAGCAGCAGCAGCAGCAGCTGACAGTGCTACAGCAGCAGCAGACAATGCTACAACAGCAGCAGACGATGCTACAGCAGCAGCAGCAGCTGACGGTGGTACAGCAGCAGCAGCAGCTGACAGTGCTACAGCAGCAGCAGACGATGCTACAGCAGCAGCAGACGATGCTACAGCAGCAGCAGACGATGCTACAGCAGCAGCAGACGGTACTACAGCAGCAGCAGCAGCTGACGGTGGTACAGCAGCAGCAGCAGCTGACAGTGCTACAGCAGCAGCATGCACGAAGACGATGCTACAGCAGCAGCAGACGATGCTACAGCAGCAGCAGACGGTACTACAGCAGCAGCAGACGGTACTACAACAACAGCAGCAGCTGACGGTGGTACAACAGCAGCAGCAGCTGACAGTGCTACAGCAGCAGCAGACGATGCTACAGCAGCAGCAGACGGTACTACAGCAGCAGCAGACGGTACTACAGCAGCAGCAGCAGCTGACGGTGGTACAACAGCAGCAGCAGCTGACAGTGCTACAGCAGCAGCAGACGATGCTACAGCAGCAGCAGACGGTACTACAGCAGCAGCAGCAGCTGATGGTGGTACAGCAGCAGCAGCAGCAGCTGTACCACCAATAGTAGCGATGGTTGATTGGGGTTTATTGTACAACCTGGCCAGCTCGGAGACACGCACTCCACTTTCATACTTATCAATGATCTTTTTCTTCATCTCTATAGTAATTCTCACCCTTATTGCTGTAGGGTTGGCACTAGAAGCTTTCTTGGGGCCCATGGTCACTTATTTTGCAGATAAAATCACCAAAAACACTGTAATAATACGAAATGTTCCGATTGTATGCTTGGATGTTACCGTGGAGGCTGGCTGGTAAACAATGCCACCGGCGGAACATGTGAGGCTGGCTAAGGGCGCACATTAGACGCGTCTCGGACGAACAGCGTTGAGCGGGTTTTTTAGTGGTATGCGAGGCAAAATCTTGGCGATAAAATGTAGCGGTATGCGGATTTAACGTTATGCAAGGCCAACGGTATGCGGGGGTCCACTGTACTAGAAGAGGTGCTGCAATACCTTCTGAGGGATTGAATCCAGAATAATTGGATATACAGTAGGCATTATAAATGTGCATGCTTATATATGGATCACACAGAAAACAACCTCTCACTTAGCGAAGTACTCGTTTAACTGCTCTTTGGACTTAGGACGGGCTCTCTGACCAGTATTTATACCTAAATAATGTATATTAGAGTTGATTTCCTCTATTCTGTTTATTTCAATATACAGTACACTACTCTATAAACATTTAAAAATGTACCAGAAATGTTATGAATGGTGCAAAGGTGACACTAAAACAATATCAGAGATGGTTGACACACACTCACTACCATTTTGCATGCTCCTCACTTAGCGATGAATTCGTTTAATGATGTGGTCTTAGGAATGGAACTCCGTCGTTAAGTGAGGTGAGGCTGTATATAATATTGAAATACAGCCTCTCCTCACTTAACAACGGAGCTCCTTTTCTAATACCGTGTTGATAAACGAGTTCGTCACTAAACAAGGAGCATGCTATAATGGTAGTGGATTTATGTCGACCATCTTTGATACTGCTTTAATGTCACCCTTACATCATTTATAACTTTTTTGTATATTTTTAAATGTTTATACATAGTGTACTGTGTATTATAATAAACAGAATAGAGGAAATCAGCTGTAATATGCATTATTTCAATATGCATGCTGGTCAAGAGGGCCCTTCCTAAGTCTGAGTCATTGGTAAACGAGTATGTCACAAAGTGAGGAGAGGCTGTGTGTATATGTTTCTTATTTAAACTAGTATTTCATACCTTTCCTCCTGATGCATTCTTTAAGTATCCTAGGCACTGATAAGGCTTAGAAAACTCAATACTGTTGCACATGTGCTAAATGGTACTCAAGATTTTGGTGTTAGAATACATGTCCATTCCAAAAAGCTCATGTTTCGTGAGTTTCCAAACATTCTTTATTGGTTTTAAGTCCAGTGAGTTTCCAGTCATTAAAAAATAGAAAAATCACAATAATTTAGCCACTTCTTTATGTCTTTGGCAGTATTTTAAGGGGGACTGTCTTCATTACAAAAGTTGCCCTGGCACTTCTTGAATCAGTCAGGCAAATAGTCTGCCAAAGGCATATTTATGAACATGCATATCTATGATGCCTACTGTATATTCATATAATGGGTGTAATTTTTACTGTGTAATTATATGAAACATTGAACTTGTTCATCATTGAGATCATGTTGTCTAGGTCTTGGAAAGATAGCTAGGGAATAAGTGATACTGAACTTTTTTCTTCTGGTCACCCTGCCTTTGTAGAAAATGGCCAGCAGTAAATAAGTAAATGAATAAATATTTTTCTTTAACACACTGGCTATCTTCACCAAGCTAGGGTGACTCAAGAAAAAGTGAAAATATATTCACTGTCATTCACTCAATTGCTGCCTTTGCCAGCAGTGTGCTGACATCACAGTTCAGATGACCCTCTGACCTTCAGCATACTCACTTGTTCCTCAGATATAGTCACTGTACCTCCCACCTCCAAGACAAGTCCAGTTTTTACACAGAAATGGTGTATAGAAGACATAGTATATGGAGAAAAAAGGAGGTGAAAAGAGTATGAGGGAGTGCAAAAATTTAATA